CCCCCCCGAGTGCACAAATTTTTGTGCACCGGGCCTCTAGTCTTATATAATAAAAGCCTAATATGCTAAGTGTCCGGTCATCTAGTCGTCCGTTCAACCAATCAAAGCGTAATATGCTAATGATATGCTAAGGCCCTCAACCACTCGCTATGACATGCACTGACCACCAGCAGGCAGACAGTGGACCAATCAGTCGCTATGACGTTCACTGACCACAAGGGGGCAGTCGATCTGTCAACCAGTCACTATGATGTGCACACTCCAACTGGTAGGTTAGCTTGCTGCTGGGGTCTGGCCGATCAAACTGAGTGAGATGGGCTGGACACGCCTTGGAGCCCTCCCATGGTCCCTCCTGGCTGGCCAACCTCCCGTATCCATCCCCAGCCCCGACTGTGCACCGGTGGGGTCCCTTGGCCTGGCCTGCACTCTCTTGCAATCTGGGCTGAGGGATCATCCCCTCCCTCGAGTGCATGAATTTTGTGCACCAGGCCTCTAGTATATATATAACATATATAACGTACAAAATGCATTATATATATTATACTAGAGGACTGATGCACGAAAATTTGTGCAAGAGTAAGCCTTCTTTCCCCCAGCTGCCAGCACCAGCTTCCCTCTGGCACCTGGGACCTGGGCTTCCCTCCTCCAGCTGCCAGGAAGCACCTGGGACCCAGGCTTCCCTCCTCCGGCCACCTGTAGGCACCAAGGACCTGGGGTGCTTCCCTCCTCCGGGCCACTCACAGGCACCCAGAACCTGGGTTGACTTTCCTCTGGCCCCGGCTTCGTCAGGAAGGATGTCTGAAATGATGTTGGGAAGATGTCTGGTCTAATTAGCATATTGCCCTTTTATTATTAGAGATTCCATGTAGAGGTATAACCTAATAAAAAGTTATTCCTGTAATTGATTATATTAAGAACAGAAAAAAACATTTTATCACTTCAATGAATGCAAAAAAGTACTGGATAAAATTTAACATCCAATCATAGTAATTTAAAAAAATACATAATAAAAGAAAACTTACTTATCTGATAAAGGTACCTTTAAAAAAAACCTACAGTATGAGGGCTTGCTTGGGGTGGGAATGGCTGGGGGGGTCAATTGGGGTAAAGGATACATATGTAAAATTTTAGACAATAAAAAAAAATAATAATAATAAAGCTAGAGAGAATTCCAATGCAAAAAAAAAAAGAAAAAAGAAAAAGAAACCTACAGCAAATGTCATACTTAATAGTGAGTCCTTGAACTTTCCCTTTGAAGTTAGGATCAAGATAACTGCTATTCAACATTATGGCAGAAGCCCTAACCAGTCTGTTGTAACAAGGAAAATAAAGTTTTGGAAATGTGTAATGTGATGAGGACAAACCCAAACTCTTGTTATTTACAAGTTATATAATGGTAAATGAAGACAATTCAAAAGAATATTCAAATTCCAAAATGGTGGCAGAGTATGTGGAAGCTACGCTGACACTCTCCTAGGACCAAACTGGAAATACAACTAAAATACAGAAAAACCACCCTGAAAAATCAACTGAAGACTAGCTGGAGAGAACCTTGATAACCGAGGATGGAAAGTGGAGACCACCTAGACACTGTAGGAAGTGTGGAGACGTGAGAGGGCTGCCTGGGCTCCCATAAACAGAAGGTGAAGTTCTGGACAGATATCTCAGCTGTGGGAGGTGGCCACTGAGAACTCTGGGGTCTAATCCCCAAGTTGGGCCCCCAGCAGAGAGCACCAGAACAGAGAAAGGTGCCTACATAACATCTGCCTGTGAAAAGCAGCAGGGTTGGATGGCAGCATAGGTACACACCTGTACTTGCTGCCTTGCACAACCACATCAAAAATACAATTAAAAGACAAAATGAATATCATCCAGAACCACGGGAAGGCTGGCTGAGTGGAAATTCTACAACAAGAAGGAAAGAGAAAAGCCCATTTGAAGGTAGGAGGTGCAGAGGTGCAGAAGTGCAAAGGTACGGAAGTGCGCGCGAAAGGGGCTGGCAACTGGGTGCGCTGTTCTCTTTTTCAATCCGGAGGGAGATACAAGCTCCCGATTGCTCTGAACTCCAGTTTTGGGCGAGACTCTGGGGACCCAGACTCATACAGGAAGAAACTGGATTGTCTGGCATCGGGCAGGAAGACGAGGGCGGCTTTCTCTCAGAGGTGCTTGCAGCGATCATTGTTCCGGCCCAGAGACAGAGACGTGGGGACCCCTCTGATGCAGGGCTGACTGGCAGCCACTGCTGTTTGCTCCACCCTGGTGATTCTCTGAGACCCCACCCCACCCAATTTACAACCCCACCCAAGCTGTGTGCAGCGGCTTTTGCATATGAATGACCTGTGCTCTCACCACCTAAAACGTAACAAACTGCAGCTGGGTCAGAGGGCCCCAGAGCTTCCAAAAGAAGGCCTAAGGCTTGACAGCAGCCTGCATTACTACACAGCTGGGCCTCATCTGGGCACCTCCAAACCCCAAACAAAGAGGAGGAATATACAGATGTCTCTGTAGCTCCTGCTGGGTGGCGCTGGGCCTCTGGGCACCTCCAAACCCCAAACAAAGAGGAGGAATATACAGATGTCTCTGTAGCTCCTGCTGGGTGGCCTCAGGCAGTGGTGGTCTTTTCACCTCTTTGGAGATCCAAAAGCCAGTGTACCCAGGGGTCAGAGTGAGACCATACCAGATTAAAACTCTTCACATCCATAAGAGACACACTCAGGGGGAAGACTCAGTGAGCACCAAAGCCCCACTGAAGCAAGTCCTGCCCCATAAGGGTGTCTCCAGCACAGAAGTTCTCCCATTGTAGACACAGCTGGTCCTCACATCCAATTGGCTTGGTGGTCAATTCCTCTCAGTGATACCAACAGCAATCAAGGCTTAACTACAACAGGACTGTGCACACAGCCCACAAAGGGGTGCACCAAGAGTGTCCACCTCAGGTAATTAGGGAGGCTGAGCCACTGGGCCCTATAGGACACCTAGCACACAAAGCCACTCTATCAATACAGGGAAGCAGCCAAAATGTG